GTATATATATATATATATATATATATATATATATATAACATTTTTACAAAAAGTTTAACACCAGAGAAGAAATTACTATGCACTATATGTTTTATATAAACTGCCCTCTTAATTTATAAGATAGAGATGATTATGCCCATTTTACAGATGAGGAAGCTGAGGCTCAGAGATTTTGAAATAACTTCCAAGGGTCCAACGACTGGCCAGTGATAGAATCAGAATTTGAACTCAAGGTCATATTCTCTCCCCTGCACCCAGAGCTTCCATGGGCTCTTTCAAACATGAGACATTTGGAACAGCAATGAATAGCCAAGCCCGCAGCAGGGGAGACTGTATTAAAACACAGCTGAAAATAGCATATCAAAGGAGACAGTAAACATGTGGATATGATATGTTGGCAATGTTTGTGCAGTTAAAGGGAGCCAATAATTAGCTTCATATTCTACACCATTAAAATTATATGAAACTCTTAAATTACTACTTTCATTTTTTTTATTTTCAAGTTATGATTTCAATAACTATAAGATTTAAAATAATTAAACTATTGACTATAAGAAATAATTTTCAGCAAGCTTTATTTATGGGATACGAATGCCAAGGCCTATGAAATCAATCTGCACGGTTTTAGCCTTGAAAGTCAAAGACAAATGGAAAAACAGCCAACGAACCCAGCAACGGAATCTGCCACTAAGCCAGTATCCTTAGTTTGATGTTGGTTCATTTGTCTGTACCTCTGCCTTGACCACACCTTCCTCTTCACTGCCTAATTCACAGACTCCTGCAGGATAAGACTCTGATTTTAAAACTGATTTGGAACAGCGTCTATTGTGCTGCTTAAGATGCTCTTAGTGGCAGTAATCATGGTGGTAATGAAGGTGATGATGGCTGATAATGAATCTAGATCATTAAGGTCCTCAAGTTAATTACTTGGAAATAAATGAAGTAGGTTGTCTGGCAGCACTGCCCAGCCCTGCTGGCAATGGTTCCACCTCCACTTTTTTATGCTGCAAAGCTGGCCTTTGTGCGCCAGGCTCCTGCAGCGATCCCAGGGGCCAGGCAGCCAAAACTCCTCAGCTCCACTCCGTGTGCCCTCTTCGAGAGACCACAGCCAAACTTGTTAGGACACTGGCTTCCTTGGGATTCCTCAAGAGGTGGAACATCAGGAAATAGCTTACAGACAGGCAGAGCAACCAAAGAGAAGGAAAAGTCCACCCCAAATCCTGAAACCAAATGTCTTATGGCTCAAGGGAAGTTAAAGTCAATTTTGCATTTTTTCCCATCTGTTTAAATCAAAGCCAGTCCTTGTTCTGATCATCTGCTCTATGCAAAATACTGGTTTCTATCCTTATCCCCCATTCCACGCACCAGCACTATGAAGGAATACTTTTTCATCTCTGAACAAACTTCTTGGTTAGGTGAGCTTAGTTTAATCCCAAAATTGCAGGCAGCAGAATAAAACAGCATCAACAATAACTAATTCAGAATTTAAAGGAAAGAGAGGTTATTGGCTAAGGACAGTACAGCCAAGCTTTTATCAAATATTCTTTGGGTTGTTTTTATTAAATAGTGAACTGATATAAAGGAATATTCATCATGTTAACACACAAAAGATGATGATATATAAGCATCTGAGCACCCTTCATTAAGGTTAAAAAATAAAGCAATCAGAATTTTTGAAGCCCTTGTGGATGCTTCCCTAATAGCACCCTCCTCTCTACCCAGGGATAACCACCATCCTGAATGTTCTGTTTGTCATCCCCTTGCTTTTTCTTCAGGAGTTTATCACATTGGAATCTTTAAACAATATATTGTTTACTTCTGAATGTTTGGAGGCTTTATATCAATGGAATCGTGGCTTATGAATTATTCTGAAACTTTTTTCACCAAACATTATGTTTCTATGATTTATCAGTGCCAATGTGGGTAGCTACATCTCATTTTCTCTGCTGTGTAGTCTGCTCTGATATGAATATACTACCATTTATTCATCCATTCTATTGCTAATAGACATTTGCATCATTTCTAGTTCTTTTTGTACCAACAGTGCTGCTATAATCCCTCTTGTCCATGTCTTCTTGTACACTTTGTACAAATATTTCTTAGGATATGTACCTAACGGGTATATTTAGTTCAAAAGTATGTACAGCTTCTACTCTACCAGGTAATGCCATTGCTTTCCACAGCAGCCATTAATGTCATTTCATTGCTCTACAACCTTACATAGGGTTTTCAGACTTTGTTTTTAAGTTTATTCACTTATTTTGAGAGACAGAGAGAGAGCATGAGCAGGGGAGGGACAGAGAGAGAAGGAGAGAGAGAATCCCAAGCAGGCTTTGCACTGTCAGCACAGAGCCCAAGCTCAATGAATTGCAAGCTCATGACTTGAGCCAAAATCAAGTCCAATGCTTAATTGACTGAACCACCCACATGCCCCAGGTTTTCAGGTTTTTAATTTTCACCAATCCAGAGGGCACTATGACTTTGATTCCCATTTCTCAGATTACTAATAAGATTGAGCCTGTTTCCTTTGTTCTTTTCTGTGAAGTGCCTGTTCAAATACGAAGTCAAGTTTTCTACTGGATTGTCTTTTTATTGACTTGTAGGAATTCTTTGTAAAAATTTACATTAACCCTTTTGCTGTTTATTGTGTGCTAATAGCTTCTCCCAGTTTGTCCTCACCCTGTTTATGATGTCTTCTCATAAATATATGTTCTTTTTTTAATGTGTTAGCATTTTTTTGAACATTTTAAAATCCCTTCCTACTCCAAGTTCAGTTT